CATTTTAACGAACGTGTTTAAACGTGCGCGAGTGAGAAGTGCGTTTTCGGAAAAAAATACGTTTTGTTGTGGTTTCGAGATTTGAAATACGCCGCGTAGTGAGTGAGGTGTCATAAATGGCATCAGAAGACGCTGAAGAAAACCAGCAAGGGAACCTATCCCTAGGTCGCCAGTTAGCAGTTCCGGTTCATTTCACGGCTTCGAGTGGGAAGCAGCAATGGATCCTGAATCTGCAAAACAGTGGCAAGGAATATCCAGGCAACGTGAACAACCCTAATAAACGGGTACCATACACTAACGATATCATAGATGGTACGACCATATCACATAAAGTTAAGATGATATTCCGAATTGGTGGTTAGGCGCTTCTTATAGTTATTGTTTATGCGTGAAGTGAAGCAAAAGATTGTGCGCATTCGGCGTTCTCTCATTAGTGGAAAGCCACCGACTTTGGCGCAACTGACAAATATGTCCAAGCAACTGTCCGTTGTGTACACCGAGTACAGCGGATTCCACAGCAAAGGACTGGCGCTTCTTCCAGATGATGCGCTGGACGAGCAAGAACATGAATATGCCAACTTCGAAGATCTCTACAACAACGTTTCCGATGCCGTGCAGGAGTTGTTGCTGAAAGCACAAGCAAACGCAGCCACTCCATCGCCGACAACCGTCCATAACCCGCAGGTGGTCGTCCAGCAGCAGCCGCTCAGCGCACCAATTCCAACATTCGATGGCAATTACTCTGGGTGGCCTAAATTCAAAGCCGTCTTCCAGGATTTGATGGCCCACTCGGGGGATACAGACGCCATAAAACTGTATCACCTCGATAAGGCGCTCATCGGAGATGCAGCTGGTGTATTGAATACCAAGATCCTTAGTGAAGGGAATTATCAACAAGCTTGGAACATTTTGGAGGATCGCTACGAAAACAAGCGGGTTCTCGTAGAAACCCACATCCGTGGTCTGTTTTCACTACGAGACATGTCATCGGAGACCCATAAGGAGCTGAGAGGTCTGCTAACCGAAGTTACTCACCACGTCGAGAGTCTGAAGTTCCTCCAGCAGCAGATCACTGGCGTTTCGGAGCACATGATTGTGTATCAGATCGTCTCCGCGCTCGACAAATCGACCCGCACAGCTTGGGAAGGGATCCAGAAAAAAGGACATCTTCCCAAATACGAACCAACCATCGCCTTCCTGAAGTCCAGGTGCCAAATCCTCGAGAATTGTGAGGCGGCATTCCAGACTAGCAAATCCAGCTAGAAACAGAAGCAAGCTCTTCCACCATCGAAGATCGATCCGCAAAAGAGCCATGCAGCATCGACCAGCCCATCTCAACTGACGTACTTGTGTAAAATTTGTGGTGGTTCTCACCGCAACCACCAGTGCTCGGCCTTATCCAACCTTACTCCTGCCCAAAAGAATGAGAAGATACGAACTGCTGGAGTCTGCTTCAACTGCTTGCGCAAAGGGCATCGATCCAAGGACTGCCCTTCTGACAAATCGTGCCAAAAGTGTCAACGCCGACACCACACGATGCTCCATGATGATGGGGCACCCCGCTATGAGAAGAAGACCAACGTTTCCGCGGAAGCAGTGGCAAGCCCGCCTCTGGTTCCGGCTGCTCCGAATCAACCGATGTCGGTGCAGACGATTCCTGCCCCAGTGGATCCACCAGTGTCAACAACCTGTTCGTCGAATGTTGTCTCATTTCCCAAGACGGTAATGTTGCTGACCGCAGTGGTACATGTCTTGGATAAAGATAACCAGCCATATCCGTGCCGGGTACTTTTGGACAGCGGCTCCCAAGTAAACTTTGTAACCGAAGATATGGTTAACCGCCTTGGCCTCCCAAAGAAACTAGCCAACGTTCCGATCGTGGGAATCAACGCCCTACGGTCCCTCGCCCGCAACAAGGTGGTGGTAAGGTTCCAGTCCCGTGTATCCAATTTACACGCAAGCCTCGAGTGTCTGGTTACCCCGAGAGTGACCGGCACGATCCCTACATCGAAAATAGACATCACCAAATGGACGATCCCTGAAGGGGTAATCCTAGCTGATCCCAAGTTCCACAGTCCGGATAAGGTGGACTTGATGATCGGTGGGGAGTTATTCTTCGATATCCTGAAACCTGGTCAGCTGAGCCTAGCCGAAGGTCTTCCACAATTGCGAGACACTTATCTGGGGTGGATCGTAGCAGGTGCCATCAAACGTGTCGCTCCAATCCAACACAGCCGTTGAAGACATTGAGCAAAGGATGGACCGGTTCTGGCAAGTCGAGAAGGTGCCGGACGTTCCCAAGCTGTCGACCGAGGAAGCAGCATGCGAAGCCCACTTCCTTTCCACCTACCAACGTGACGAAACTGGAAGATTCATCGTGAAACTGCCGTTCAAGGACAATCTTCTCCAATTGGATAACTGTCGCAGTCTAGCTTTGAAAAGATTGCTGATGTTAGAGAAGTGATTAAGGGGTTACGCCTACCTGCAAACTTTCAAAAAATCGTTTTTTTTTATTGTCCTAATCGAAAGTATATAAAGTCAAGAATATTTCCTCAAAAGATCAAGTTGATCCGATGAAAATTGTGAAAGTTATGCGACGTACAAAAATATTCACTTATAGTGGACTAAACCCAACTTGAAACTTTAAACGCGATTATCTCAGAATCATATTTTCAAAACCGGTGCCAAAAATTTCTCGCAACATGTATACATTCGATTCGTCCGATTCGTTTTGATTTCTGTTCAGTACTATTTTGTGCAGTCCACGATCGTTCGGATTTCGTCTATCATTTAATTTCGATTTTTTACAGCCGATCAAAGACAAATTTTAAGGATCAAAAATCGGCGCTTCAACTTTGCAAGGCCACCATTTTGTCAAAAAAATTTAAAAAAAAACCGAACGATCAAGGACTAGTTTAACACATGCTTAACGATTTGGTATGGTTTTTTTTTTATTTCAGATTATTACATCACAAACCGCAGTTGGCACCGCAAAAAGCGTTTTTTAGAACATCGTGCACGGGGAGCAGCCGTGCGGGGCACCAGGACCTCGTTTTTACAGCATCGACTGATAAATGTACCATTTAATGTGTGTTCAATAAACGGCAGAAAACCGATTTTCAATATGTTGCGTCGTTTTCGAGAAAAAATCCAAACTTTCGCTTTTTTTCGGTCTTGCAGGTAGGCGTAACCCCTTAATCCGCAATCCCGAGCTGCAGGCTCAGTACGTGAACTTCATCTGGGAGTACGAAGCTCTCGGTCACTGCACCGAGATCAACGAGTCTGAAGATCCACCCAACAAGCAAACCTACTATTTGCCGCATCATGCAGTGTTACGTCCGTCCAGCTCGAGCATGTGCAAAGTTGTCGCCATCGGAACTTTCCCTGAACGATGTACTGCAAGTTGGTCCAGTAGTACAGAACGATCTGCACCATATCGCGGTACGGTTCCGAAAATTCAAGGTTGCCATCACCGGAGACATCTCTAAAATATACCGTCAAATACTCAAAGCCCTGTTGGATCGTAGTTTCCTTCGAATCTTTTGGAGAGAGCACCCATCGTTACCCCTACGAGTCCTGGAACTCTGTACCGTTACGTACGGTACGGCATCGGCACCATAGCAAGCAACCAGGTGTTTGCTGAAGCTCGTTGAAGAGGATGGTGAGGACTGTCGCCGCTCGTATTGTGAAAGAAGAAACGTACATGGACGATGTACACTCCGGGGCAGACTCAGTGGAGGACGCTATCGAGGCTCAACAACAGCTGAAGCAGCTCCTTGGACAAGGAGGTTGCCCCATACACAAGTGGTGCTCAAATTCACCGGAATTCCTAGAGCATATTCCCGTAGAGGATCAAGAAAAAAGGATCACGTTGGAAGAGCATGGAGTGAATGAAGCCATCAAGGTGCTTGGTTTATTCTGGGATCCCTCTGCAGACTCGATACTCATAGCCTATTGTCCAAACTCAACATTGCATCTGCAACGGCCCACGAAAAGAACGATGTACTCCGAGATCGCTAAGTTTTTTGACCCCCTGGAATTGGTTTCACCGGTCATTGTTTTGGCGAAGCTTCTAGCGCAGAAATTGTGGCAGCTTAAGTCCAGGTGGGACGACCCGGTTGACGAAGACATCGCACAGCAGTGGCGACAACTCCAAGATTCCTTGTCGCATCTTCACGAGATAGAGATCCCAAGGCGCGTTACGATGGACAACGTGGTCGCCTACGAGCTGCACGGCTTCTCTGATGCCTCCAACAAGGCTTATCTTTTCATCTTTTTGCGAAGTAGTTTTGGCGATGGCTCGGCGAAGCTTCGTCTTTTCACCAGCAAATCGAAACTGGCTCCCCTAAAAGAACTGTCCATCCCACGAAAAGAACTGTGCGCCGCTCTTCTACTAACCCGGTTGGTACAGAAGGTGTCACCAGCCCTGGATATGACTTTCCGTGAAATAGTCCTGTGGTGCGACAGTACGGTAGTCCTCGCTTGGATTAAGAAACCTCTCAACCAGCTACAGTTGTTTGTACGGAATCGAATCGCAATTATACAAGAGCACACCAGTAAGTACCGGTGGGAGTATGTCCGGTCCCAACAGAACCCAGCAGACATCGTATCCCGAGGTCAACTAGTTGAATCCCTGAAGCACAGCAGCCTTTGGTGGAATGGGCCCGAGTTCCTGCAAAGAGTTGAGTACTACGTAGATGCCCCTGAAGACGTTCCAGACGAGAAGCTACCGGAACTTAAGGCCTTGGTAGCAGGGCCAGATGTGAGTATGGACTTCCTATCTTTTCTTCCAAAGCTCAGTAACTTCCGCAAAATCCAACGAGTTGTGGGCTATGTCCTGCGATTCACTGCCAATTGTCGGAAAAAGGACCCGACCAATCGAGAGATAAAGCCTAGGATAAAGCCCTATCTGGTTGCTGAACGCAAGATCCGCCATCCGATTTATCACACGCCGGTGCGTGAGATGCTTCCGGACTAATCCTACCACTCCCAACCAATTGATGGGAAACCTGCCAGTATCGAGAGTAGTGCCATCGCCCCCCTTCGCTGTGACCGGCGTGGATTACGCCGAGCCTTTCTGGACCAAGCAAGGCACACGTCGTCCAACTTTGGTGAAGTCGTACGTGGCCGTTTATGTTTGCATGGCAACCAAAGCCGTCCATTTGGAGGGTGTCTCCGATTTGAGTACCGATGCCTTCATGGCGTCCTTTCGTCGATTTATCGCTCGCCGTGGAATGGTCCAAGAAATCCATTCGGACAACGCCAGCAGTTTTGTGACCAACAAGCCGTTGAGACCATCGAATCTTTTTGCCGCAATCATGAGATTGAGTGGAATTTCATTCCACCCGACGCACCCGAGTTCGGTGGTTTGTGGGAGGCAGCCGTGAAGTCAGCCAAAACCCATTTGAAGCGGGTAGTCGGCAATACGACTTTAACGTTCGAGGAATTGTGTACGATCCTGTCAGAAATCGAGGCCGTCTTGAACTCCCGACCATTGTTCGCAATTTCCAACGACCCGGCGGACCCGCTGGTGATAACTCCAGCGCATTATTTGACTGGACGACCGCTGATCGCCCCAGCTGAACCTTCCCTGGAGAACGTCAAAGCATCCCGCTTGACACGGTCGCAAAATCTCCAACTTATGCGCGAGCAATTCTGGCGTGCCTGGAGCCGGGATTATTTGAATACCCTGCAGCCTCGGAAGAAAAATCGACAAGAGAACCCGAACATTCGGGAAGACATGATCGTGTTGCTTCACGATCGTAACCAACCACCACTCAACTGGAAGTTAGGTCGCATCGTAGCCGTCTATCCTGGAACCGACGGCCTGGTCCGAGCAGTTGATGTCTTCGTGAATGGAACCACGGATCGACGTCCCATCAATAAGGTGTCCATTCTGCCCATCGAGGATAATGATCCCCGTCAAAGCCCTCTGACTTCCAAAAGGTGTTGAGATCTCTCAACCGGGGGGAGGATGTTCCGCCTACCGCCGAAAGAGAGGAGAAAAACGTCGACCAATCAGCAACGAGCAAACGGTCGGTGCCGTTCCCTTAAAATCCCCGCAGTAGCGTGCTTAAGTTTAAGTTTGAATCCAACCGAGAATCCATTCGCAGCAGCAGCAGCTTTGTATCGAGAAACGAAGAGAAATAAACAGTAGTGTCCAGCGTTGCCAGGTCATTTTCAGAAAAATCAGGACCAGTTAAAATAGAAAATCTGGAAAAATCTAGAATGCTCTCTCTCTGTTTTAAACTTAATGCTATTGAAATCAAATTGATGTGCCAATCTCCCGTAAAAATCGGTCAGTGTAATCATCTGAAATTTATTGAAAGTACCAGAATGTTTATGAATTACATGTGTAAATAAATTAAATAAAGCAAATAACTTGTTAGCATCAAAAAGTTAGGAAAAGTATTGTGCTCAAAAAATTTAAATATCCATTACACAGAAATTAAAAAAAATTGAGTTAAATTTCGGGTAAAATACTGCAGAAAATATGTTTAAAATTTTTTTTTTAAAGTATGAGAAGCAAACAATTAAGCAACAATTAGATGATTTTTTTTTAAATAATAGTCGATGTAGTCCTTACTATTTGATGCAGTACCAGAATATGCCTGAAATTTTTTATTTGTTCTAAATGACTCAAATATTTCCCTGAGGTTGATCAGACTTACAATTTAGTTCTTGACAACATACAACATACAAAACCTAGTAGACCAGTAGGCAATTTAAATTTTATGATAAATTCACCTGGCGAGAACCAAAGCCTCACATCGTGGTACTCATACACATTTTACCTAAACTACTCCACTATTGGCATGACCATTACGAATAATTTTATGTCAAAGAACAATTTTATTATATGACTCAAATGAAAGTCTGAAAGCTTCATTTTTTGAAGGCTTAGGATCTTGAAATGATTCTAAATTCTGGAATTTATATTTTTTCTGGGTCTCAGATCATGAAATTTTTTGTTAGTCTGAATTTACTTGGAACTTTTCACACGATATCTTCGTCATTTTTTCAGAGTTCCATTTGAATCATCCTAGAATTCCATCATACTTCTTTTCTGGATTCCCCTAAAATAATCTTGATAATCTCCAAACTTTTTCATCAGCATTCTAGAAGTTCTCAGAAAAACTCTCTTGATACGCATTATCTCTTGTAATTTCTTAGATATCATTCAATTCCATAATTCCCTCAAACTGGTAATAATTCCCAACAATTCGCATTATTTTGTCTCCATTTTCTCGATGAATTTCCCTGAGAATATTGTTAAAAATTTAACTCTTCAGAATGACCGTCACTCTCTTTCTTAAAATTTAATTTAAATGAATCTCCCTAGAAACCTTGGACAGAATTCCATTGGAATTATTCTCACGATTCGCATCAGCATACTCATTGTATTCAATTAAGTATCATCTTAATAATTTTCTGTGTCTTCTCTTCTGATTTATAATAAATTTCTTAACAAAATCGCCAAGCAATTTTCATCAAAGTCATGGAACTCTACACAGAATAAGCTTGTAATCCTCTTATGATTTAACAAGGAATTCACTTCACACTATACTGTCAACTATTTTCAGAATTACCTTAAAATTATGAAATTCTAGAGCAATTCAGAATTCTAAAGTAATACAGACTGCTAAGATAACTCAATATCTACAGGTACTTCAAAAAGTGCTAAGAATTAGCACATACATACACATACAACATACTTCAAAGTCCTGGTAGTTGTCTAGATTCAAAAGCCTTGCTAATTTTCCAAAGCTCAATTTATTGTTTTCAATCCCGAACAGTTTTCGATTTCTCGAAATTGCAAAATTATGAAAAGTCCCGTATATTGAACTTTTGATTTTGTAATCCAGGATTCAAAAAAACAAATTATAGCCAAAATCAAAACACAAATTACTAATAAAAAGGATCCAGGCCCGATATTTTAAAAAAATTAAGGGTTTTTTCAGCAAATAATCTTTAAGAAATGTCTCAATTTTCATGATTCTGCAACCCATTAACATGCAAACATGTTGTAACAATTCCATGTACGATGCAATAATTTCCAACGTTTATGGCCTTTAATAATTAGAGTAGCAAGTTTAACTTTTTTATTTTTTATTTTTTATTAGAAAGAAAATCAATTGCCGTGATATTTAAAAGCAATTTGTTTAAAAAATCTGGGAAAATCTGGAAAATATTTTAAAAATCTGGAAATATACATGGTCTGTCTGTGTATCTGGCAAGACGACTGAAAATCTGGAAAATCCAGATAAATCTGGAATACTGGCAACGCTGGTAGTGTCTAGTGTAGTCGGCAGCATTCGTCATTTCTACTGCATGTCCATTGGTGTTCCGGAGAGCAGCGTCAAAATCCCCAGCTCTTTTCAGAGCTCCTGAGTTTAGAACTTCGATTGACGCTAGCCAACTCCGTTCGCTACCGCCCAGTACAGTCCACTTCGCCTTGACAAAACCAGTTCATAAGGAACAAATGTTATGTAAAAATTCAAATTCATGCTGGTAGTCGGTCTATCTGTTAATTTTGCCTTTATTTTTAGCTACATAAGTTGACCAGCCCAGTGCACAAAAGTGAAACGAAAGCTTCAAAATCGAAATTTTATGGCCAAACCCATGGTATTAGCAACAATCAATACGAAACTAACGATTTTAAATTGGCTCACTACTTGACTAGCCTATTGGTCCCAAGCAAACGATTAACGTACCCCATTCTAGTCGACATTCTAGTACTACACATTGTTTGTTTTGATTCGATATGCAAGTTTGACAGATAAAATGAGGGGCTAGTGGATTTTCCTATGTTTCGAGGGGTGAATCGTTTAGCTTGGGACCGAAGACAGTACCAGAGCTGAGCCAAAAAGTTGAGCACGTTTCTTCGGGACCTTCTAGTCTTCCTCTGTTCGGGACCTAACACTACTGCGACCAGTAAATTGATCTATTGTAGTATATCCCGTGTCCTTAGTTTAGTGCATGTCGTATTACTCCATCACTATTGAGAAATGATGAAGTATTCGATTTTTTTTACAGTTGCCACTCTTGCATTTATCGCAAGGATCCGACTCTAATTGAAAGGTCCCGCTATTTATACCCTTCGGAGTGTTGAAACACCCTCCAAAGGCGCGCCCCTTTGTCAGTCAAAATTGAATTCCTTAGCAACAAAATTAAGGTATGACACCGATAATGACCATGCATCAGAACCCTAGTCTTAACCACTTCAAACTGGGGAACAACGAAGAGAAGATTAGGAATCACATAGATGAAGACAACTAACTAATTTGTTTGCCTTGTTTCAAGATCATCCTCGGTAGACAAAGCCGAGTCTTGTCACTATCAACAAGGCATAAAAAGTAACAAGGACTAAGATGTGTTCCTTGGATTACTGAAAAATCCTGTTCCCCTAGTTTGAAGTAGTCAGGACTAGGAATCGGTGGTAGATCTTACATCCCGTAACGTACCACGAAAAGGTGATCTACCCACGTTACGGGGTACCTTCTAGTCTTAGAGTTACCTCTATGGATATACTGTATACTCAGCTAGTACTGCAAAATGTACAATTTGAGGAACTAGCTCAAAAGAGTATAGTGGTGAACATTGTACCAATCAATACGAAAAAATAATTTTAAATTAGCTCACTACTTGACTAGCCTATTGGTCCCGAGCAAATCAATTACGTACCCCATTCTAGTCGAAATTCCAGTACTACACTATGTTTGTTTTGATTCGCTATTAAAGGTTTGATAGGAAATATGAGGGGTTAGTGGATTTTTCTATATTTCGAGGGGTAAATCGATTAGCTTGGGACCAAAGATAGAACCAGAGCTGAGCCAAAAAGTTGAGCTCGTTTCTTCGGGACCTTCTGGTCTTAGAGTTACCATAGAGGTAACTCTAAGACCAGAAGGTCCCGAAGAAACGAGCTCAACTTTTTGGCTCAGTTCTGGTACTATCGTCGGTCCCAAGCTAATCGATTCACCCCTCGAAACATAAGAAAATCCACGAACCCCTCATTTTATCTGTCAAACTTTCATAGCAAATCAAAACAAACATAGTGTAGTACTGGAATTTATACTAGAATGGGGTACGATAGTCGATTTGCTTGGGACCAATAGGCTAGTCAAGCAGTGAGCCAATTTAAAATCGTTAGTTTCGTATTGATTGTTGGAGTTACCTCTATGATTGTACGTCTTTTGAAAGCCTTAAATGCATTTAAGCTAGATATGTAACATATTATGCAATTTGACTAATTTTCAATTTCAGCAGTTTACTTTACTCACCCCGTAAGTAAAAAATTATTTTATTTTACGGGCCCAGGACAAGCCTTCATTGCAGAACTATGCTGAAAGTAATAATCTGAAGGATAATCAAATTCAAGAACAAAAAATAACTGAAGAAACCAAAGTATTCGATGATATAAGAAGATGAAACTTGGCTCAATTTGCATTAATTTATTTCACTTCACCACGAGAATCATAAATTAGCTCTTTTCATATGGCATTCTTGTCTGTTGTTTGGCATTCACAAAGTTGGCTATGTTTCCTATGTTTCGAGGGGTGAATCGATTAGCTTGGGACCGAAGATAGTACCAGAGCTGAGCCAAAAAGTTTAGCACGTTTCTTCGGGACCTACCAGTCTTAGAGTTACTTATATGCTTGTACTCAAGACACATTTCTAGATAGAGCTGGAATTAGGGCGTAACAGCTTTTGTAAACCATGACTTCTCTCGAGGATTTCTCGAAAGTCATGGCTCTCCCTGGCAAATCGACATCACCATCGAGTAGGGGAAGACTTGTTGGTTTGTGTAGGCGTGCCTTGAATTCCTAGAAATCATTGAGAGAAGTCATTGTTTACAAAGGCTATTACGCAGGTCTATCTAGATTTGAACTTGAAAAATCACGCAACGGAAAAACAGATTAATGTCCATGGGCTGAGCTTACTGCGGTATCCCTA